CACGCCCCCCCTGTAGTTCCCAGGACCATACGGGTGACAGAATGACACCAGCAATGCTACCTTTATGTGGCACCTTTAAATGGCTTCAAATATTTATATATACACTATATTGCCAAACGTATTGGGACCCCCCTCCAAATCATTGGATTCAGGTGTTCCAATCACCTCCATGGCCACAGGTGTATACAATCAAGCACCTCGGCATGCAGACGCTTCTACAGACATTTGTGAAAGAATGGGTCACTCTCAAGAGCTCAGTCACTACAAGTGTGGTACCGTGATAGGTTGCCACCTGCGCAATAAGTACATCCGTGACATTTCCTTGCTACTAAATATTCAGCGGTCACCTGTTACTGGGATTATAACAAAGTGGAAGCAACTGGGAACAACAGCAACTCAGTCACGAAGTGGTAGGCCACGTAAAATGACAGAGCAGGGTCAGCGCATGCTGAAGTGCACAGTGCGCAGAAGTCGCCAACTGTCTGCAGAGTAAATAGCTACAGACCTCCAAACTTCGTGTGGCCTTCAGATTGGCACAACAACAGTGTGTAGAGAGCTTCATGGAATGGGTTTCCATGGCCGAGCAGCTGCATCCAAGCCTTACATCACCAAGTGCAATGCAAAGCGTGGGATGCCGCGGTGTAAAGCACGCCGCCACTGGACTCTAGAGAAGTGGAGACGTGTTCTCTGGAGTGACCAATCACGCTTCTCTGTCTGGCAATCCGATGGACGTGTCTGGGTCTGGCGGGCCACCAGGAGAACGGTACTTGCCTGACTGCATTGTGCCAAGTGTAAAGTATGGTGGAGGGGGGATTATGGTGTGGGGTTGTTTTTCATGGCTTGGCCCCTTAGGTGAACCCTAGGGACTAAGACTAGGATTCTATTAATGTTCATTTGTGTACTTTTAGCAATTTTTGGTATATTTTTATTCTATTCTATGTTACTTCTGTACTTTTGGAACATGTTGAGATTTGTGGATTTCCGGACAAGACTAAGGAACTTGTGACAAAGGCACCGTGCCAAACCTGTGGACATCTGAGTTAGTATAATATCTGAAGGTTGCCAAAAAGTCCCTATGAAGTCATATAACCACCATCTCCATATAACCAATGATCAGTGGCGCCAATTACAGATATTCCACTATATATGCTAATACAATTGTATAATAAACATGACTAGCTTGCAGCATACTTTGGTGTGTTGGTCTCCAATAGTGCATGATTGTACTTTAGCTTGCAATTTGGGTCCACTGGCTAAAAGTGAGCACGTATCTGTACCTGTACTTTAAAGTGTTTTCCCTGACAAATACAACCAGCGTGTAGCTTTAATGCCTGCTGGGACTTGTAGTCCCTGAGCAGCATGCACTAGAGTCACTTTAGGGAGGTGCGCACCGCTTAAAACTACATGTTCCAACAAGCATTGTCTCCATGTTGGTAGCATTGCTGATGTTATTACTCCCTGCCCAGGACCTATACGCTGTGAGTTGGATAGCAAAGATGGCACAGTCACATGACTACATAAATCAGGTAATTTAGGACATAAATGGTACAGGTTGGTGGCAGACAGGAGCAGTCCAAACTGCAATTCGAGATAGAAGTCCGGTAAGCAATATAAATGTAGTAAAGCCAGGCATGATGCGGTGTAAATTAACCTGTTAATCAGGCACGTGGTGAAAGTTCCTAGTTCCTTTTATAGGTGCTTAATGAGGGTCAGGTGTGCACTGCCAGAAAACGTTCATAGAAGGTGATGGAGAGCACATTCCTACAATTCAAAACCCCAAACACACTCTAGCCATGTGCAAGTAAAAATTATTGATGTGCATTGACCAGGAGTGCCTTATTTTTAGTATCTGGAGTTGTTCTCAGCTTCATTACAAGCCTCTTTGGCGCACCGGCTTTTAAGTAAGCTTTCCTTTTCCGACCTCAAACTTCCGTGACTGGTAAGAGCCGACTCTATAAGGCCAACTGAGCTTAGCAGTCCATAACAGGGAACATTGAAGCCGAACTCCAAGAAAAGAGTTTCATACGCAGATGAAATATAAAGGAGCTGCTATACCTGTCAAAGGATTTATATTTCTCTGAGCCAGTTTTGATAGTCACACGGCCCCACAGAGCAGCCATTTGTATGGCACCACTAAGGAATGCAGTGGTGTTTTTTGTTCTTTCTCCACCCCCAGTCAGCTGACTGGATAGTGAAAGAGCAGCAGCAGACTGATGAGGCCATCCCTCTGCTCTTTCTGCTCTCTCCTGCTACCAGCTTTTTACTTGTCAGCAGCATTGACATGCAGCACCTGGATGGCTCCCAGTCCCGCCCCTCCTTCCCCAAGCGCTGCTGTATAGGGGACTGCAAGAGGCTGATACCAATGCAAACGGTACTTATACTGCTAAATATGAGTTAAAGGAGAACTATGGGGTCCGGGGTTTTTCCCCATAGTTCTCCTAAGGGTCACGGGAGGACACAAACTAGCGTCCTCCCGTCACCCAAAGCTCAGTACAGTCGAGATCCACCCAGCTGCGTGACTGACAGCTGGCTCTGCCTATCTAGAGGCAGAGCCAGCTGTGCCCGCCCCCTTCCGCCAGTCAGCGCTGGAGGAGCGGGGAATCCCTGCAGGGAGCCGTGAGTGACAATCACAGCTCTCTGCAGGGAGATGATCGAGAAGTGAGTGGGCGAGCGCCTTGTATGTGTTCGCTCACTTCCCGATCTATAGAGCCGACGTGCGACATTCTCATTGTCACAGGTCGGCTCAGATTATGAGGCTGAGTGATTTTCACTCACCTCATAGTTCTCCTTTAATAAAGTGAATGTAATGGTGTATTAATTAATACAGAGCTGCATCAATGGGTGTATTCTTTATCCAGTCTTTATATCCAGTCCCTGATATGCAGATGACTAGTAGAGGGAGCTGTTACAAATCCTTATATGGAATACGGCAATGGAAATATGGAACAGCAAGCACGCTAAAGTGAATTCCAGATAAACAACGTTTCCTTTCAGAAGTAACCGCGTTTCTTTCACATCTCATCTTCATGTATCCTTTGTCTCTGGAGCTTCGCGTTCTTATATTTTCGTGCCAATGTAAACCTGGCTCCCGTCCCGGTCTCATTGCAGGATAATAGCTCTTAATCTCCCCCCCACTGCATGAACCATCCTGAATATTGTGCTGTGAGGCTGATGGGAAGTGTTGTCTGGTGGCGCGCCCCGACCTGCCCTGTATTCAGGCTGTACAATAGAAATACACTTTCCTATCCCATAAACCGTCTCTGCATTGTGTTCACTTTGCTGCTTTCTGCTTTCTCATTGTGGGGTGAGGAGATGTTCTGCGATTTAGAAGAAGAGGGGAAATTCCAGCGAATGTCCCGCCAGGTCAAAATTTGGGTACTTTCAGACATAGGAGGAAGCGTGGCATGCCCCCCCTTGACTTCACACAGTGCCAGGCCAGGCCAGGGAGAGGCAGAGCCACCAAAGTGTCCTTGACAAGAACAATGCTTGTGTTGGATTTTTTTTGCAATGACGCCTGCAGAGCATTGCACCTGCAGGAAATGCGGTGTGAACTACAAAGTGGAGAGAGGGAGGAGCATCTCTAGCCAAACATTTTTTGGATGAAGTGTGGAAGGGTTCAGACTAGGGTTGCCACCTTTTCTTCAAGCGAAACCCGAATACTCTGGCGGCGTGTGCTGCAATTTTATTTTGGTTGGGAATATAGAGGAGAGAGCGAGGAGAGGCAGCCAGGGGAGGTAAGGAGACCAGTTATAGAGGACTACAAATCCCAGCAATACAATATACAGCAATACAAAATAATATGAAGCCACATACTCTGTGCTGTTCTGGGTTGGTGCCCTGACAGCTCCTGGTGGCCTCTCAGATGATCGGCTGTGCAGCTCTCAGGTGGGCTGTGCTTATTCTTGGATCGGCTGTGCAGCTCTCAGGTGGGCAGTGCGACTCTCAGGTATGCTGTGTGACTATCAGGTGGGCTGTGGCTCACTAAGGTGGGCTGTGCCACACTCAGGTGGGCTGTGTGACACTCAGGTGGGCTGTGGCTCACTAAGATGGGCTGTGTCACACTAAGGTGGGCTGTGCCACAATCAGGTGGGCTGTGTGACACTCAGGTGGGCTGCGCAGCTCTTAGATGGGCTGTGTGTCTATCAGGTGCGCTATGTGACACTCAGGTGGGCTATGTGACACTCAGGTGGGCTGCACAGCTCTCAGGTGGGCTGTGCCACTCTCAGATGGGCTGTGCAACTCTCAGGTGGGCTGTGTGACTCTCAGGTGGGCTGTACAACACTCAGGTGGGCTGTACAACACTCAGGTGGGCTGTGCAGCTCTCAAGTTGGCTATGTGACTCTCAGGTGGGCTGTGCCACACTTAGGTGGGCTATGCGACTCTCAGGTGGGCTGTGCGACTCTCTGGTGGGCTGTGCGACACTCATGTGGACTGCGTGACACTAAAAATGAAAATATTTTGCCTCCTTGTCTTTTTTTTATGATGTAATATGATGCTTGTGAGTTGTAATTTGAGCCTTTATGAATAATGAAGAATAATAATACAGTAAATAAATTGGGGATTATGTGAATAAAAGCAGGGCTCGTCCGGGATTTGAACCCGGGACCTCTCGCACCCTAAGCGAGAATCATACCCCTAGACCAACGAGCCGCTATATGGTATGTCCCGCGCACGTGACCAATAGAATGTCGAACATCCGGTCCTAGAACGTTGAATCTCGCTATGGAACATTCATTGTAACAATGTATCCATATGTAACAAAAAAATCAGTTTATTCCTTCCAGCCGAACGGAAATCCTCAGCAATCCTGGCAAGCAGAAAGCACAGCAAACCTCAGACAGAATCAGCCAATGAAAGCTCAGATCCCGCCTCTTCTTTCAGCCAATCCCTACCAGGTCTGATTGCCTGATTGACAGGCTCCCTATGCAATGCGATATCTCTATCTCCTCATGACGCCATCAGAGAGGCGCCCGTAGCCCAATGAGGGAGCGGTAGGGCGGGACTTGGTATGGCTGTGTCGGTAGATGTGGAGTTGCCGTGCTGAGGTGGAGATGGCTGCGGTGATGCGGGTGTGTCGGTGCGGGCGGAAGATGCTGTGGCCGCTCCTGCTGGCGGTGTTGTGTGTCGGTGAGTACGGCTGAGGTTGAAGTGGACGGTTGTGGGGAACATGGCCGTTCGCTGATAGGGAATCCACGTCCTCTGATCCTGACCTGGATTGGAGGGACCTCCCACCCCCGTGTGGGGACGGAGCGGGGCTCAGGTGGTAGGAGGGGGCCGAGTGAGTACACAGGGCATTGTGTGTGTGACACCGGGCCATTGTGTTAGCGGGGTGTTGTGTTTAGCTTGTGAGGCATTGTTATTATAGGGGAGGTTGTATGTAGTTTAGGAGGGTATTGTTATAGTGGAGGATGTATGTAGTCCAGGAGGGTATTGTTATAGTGGAGGATGTATGTAGTTCAGGAGGGTATAGTGTTGGTATAGGGGTGCCCTCGCCGCTCCTTTCCTATAAGATGTTGTCTGTACCCCGATGGTCAGCCGGGTACATCCACCTGGAGGATGTATTCCTCTAGTACAGTCATGTTTCCTAACCTGCAGACATTTCAGCGTCTGACTCGCGCCTGAACCCTGAGGATCACCTTGACATCCAGCAAAGTGGCTGCTTCTGTGAGAGATTATCGGTGGCGGCTCCCACATTAGACCTCCCGACCGTTTCCCTTTAATGTGCCGGCGTGAAGCTTCGTCCTCCCGGCAGTCCGGGCGTCACAAAGCCGGCAGTGGCGTTCTCTCTCCCTGGAGGTCCATCTGTAGCCGGCCACGGGAGGCCGCACTCCGTCTGGGCGCAGCAGGGAGAACGCTGTCAGTGCTTTGTCATTCCAGAGAGGGATCGGCGGAGGAATATGACTCGTTCTCTGAGCTGAGGCCGCGCTCCATCAATAAATGATACGAATGCTGCAGAGGAAATGTTTTTCCTCCTTGTTTCTGGGCCCGGGGGTCGCCCTCCTCCTTGTTTCTGGGCCCGGGGGTCGCCCTCCTCTTGGTTTCTGTACGCCTCGGTCATCCTCGAGTTTCCTTGCTGGTATGTCAATCTTGGTTTCTGTGCCTGGGGGTCATCCTCTGGTTTCAGGACCCCTATTGTCATCCTCTGGTATCTGTGTACAGGATGTTGTTGTCCCTGCTGGTTGTGTTCCTTCCTCCTCCATAAGGAGAGCCCTTTGATGGGCCGGATGAGTGTTTCCTGGTTGGGGAGCTCCCGGCCTCGGGGAAGGAGAATCACCTTTACTCAGCCGCTGTTCTGTCTGTTAATTGATTACTGTTAGAGTTGAACCTTGTGACGATATAAAACAAATGAAAGCGGAACTCCGGCCGCAGGAACCTTCACTTACAGTATTCTATCCTCTCCACGATGAATCCGGATCAGGCAAATACACATCGCCCAGCAAAGCGTTTCTTTACCCAATCACTTGCACTCATCGGGTTTCTGAACAGCTCCGACTCTCTCAGCTTGGCTTCTCTGAACTTCCCGTCCAGTACAAGATCGCAAGGGAGTCTTCGGCAGCTCCATCTACTATCTTGGAGAAGGGAGGGGTGGGTTCCCTTAGCGCGATTCCATAAACGCAGAGACACGGCATCGGCCATACCGCCTAACAGCGGAGTCCCATATCCCTTACGTGTGAACACTAAAGGGGAACACCGACTTGCTTGCCGGGTGATCAGCATTAAATTTACTCGCATGGTCTAAAAACCTACCGCAAAGTTTATGGTTGAGCGGTGCCGTGAATGGCTGCCACAAGGGTGGCTCCATAGGACCCTGCATAGGACTTTTTATGCATTTGGAATAGCATAAGAACCATTTGACTTTTTAATAATAACTTTAAATATATATGAATCCCCTTTTTTGTGTGCAGCAAACGCCTTTTGCATACCCAGTTATTGCCTTGTAAAAGTAGCAGTGACATCATCACTGTGAGGTACATAGCCTGAGCAGAGCTGTGGGAGGGACCCAGCAGACCCCACCCACTACTGAGCAGAGCTGTGTGAGGGACCCAGCAGGCCCCTCCCACTACAGGTTGCCTGCAGGAAACTACAGGAGGAACACGCATGACTTGTATTTAGACAATACTTCTCCCTGTGTTCAGCTTTAACCTGTTCACTGCCATCGATGTCTGTCTCATGTTTCTGGCGGCGGCCCCTTTCAAACAGAGCTGCCAGGACTCTGCGTGCAGCCGACTTTCGGCCTTACGCTGGAAGCAATTCTGACGGCTGAGTCATGTCTGTGGCTGTGAGATGCTTAAAATGGGCTTTTATGTGACGGGAGCCCCGTTCTAGAAGTCACCAATTGTGTCGGAGAAATGTAAAAGCTCGAACGTTTTATTTACAAACTCACTCGTAAAAGCAATACGTCTAAAACACATTGAGGGATATTGATCAAAATCTGGAACAGCGGTGCATGCCAACCAATCGACTTTTCCCCTTTCATTTTCAAATCTTAAAGGAGAACTATGAGGTGGGCGCTTTTCACTCACCTCATAGTTCTAGCCGACCTGTGACCAATGAGACGGTCACAGGCCGGCTCAGTAGATCGGGAGGTGAGAGAACACATACCGGCGTTCGCTCGCACCTCTCGATCCTGTCACAGCTCTCTGCCGTGACAGGGGGAGGGGCTGGATTCCCCCCTCCCCGTTCCGATCTGCCAGCGCTGACTGGCGGAACGGGAGGGGGCGGGTACCGCTGGCTCTGCCTCTAGATAGGCAGAGCCAGCTGTCACTCACGCAGCTGGGCGGATCACGTCGTCTAAGTCCCGATCGGCTGCGGCGTCTCAATATACCGTGAGCTGTAGCTTAGGGTGACGGGAGGACGCTAGTTTGTGTCCTCCCGTTACCCTAAGGAGAACTATGGGGAAAACACTGACCCCATAGTTCTCCTTTAACTGAACAAACTGAAGAGAGAATCTGATTGGTTGCCATGCACCGCTGCTCCAGTTCTTGATAAATTCCCCTCAGAATGTCTGTAATGGCGAGTAGAAAGCTCATTATAAGCCAACATGACAGAATGTGTGATTGGAAAATCTATTTCTATGAAATCTGCTAGCTGGTGTGTTGGCTCTACGCGTTTTGCCACTTATCGGCTTACTCGGGAGAGGGTATCTTGCCAAAAAAAAAAGCGCTGAAAGACGTGAGCAGAGTACGGTGTGAATGTAAAGTAACACATAATAGGGATGTAGAAAAGAACTGTCTGTACACGATGGTTCTTTTGACATTGGCCTATGCTGTGAGACACGGGGACACCCAAATTCAGCATCCACCTGCCATGGGGGGTAAGGGACCACAGGAGGGGCAGGGCCAGAATCCTGCACACCAAGCATGAGACAAAGTCTGAAAAAGGCAATACCCGGGATTGCACGAATCATATCGGCTCACGCCCGGGACATGCAGTTCCGTGTGCCGGTGTTCTGTCGAGATCTCCAACTCGTGACGTCATATCCATTGTAGATTTAGACAAGACGGCGCCGGTGTGCGTGCGGCAGCCGCAGATTGTGCAGCTTGATGCTTCTCTTGGGTGGCTGCGCAGACGCACTGACTTGAGTTGGAGGTCTCAACGAGTTGGAGAATTCCATAGAACACCGGACGTATATGCCAAGGCTCATACACGTGAGAGTCGTCGTACCACAACCAATACTGACATGGAGTTCTCCGGGTTGAAGACAATTCTGAACCAAACTGTTACTGAAGAATATCTATACTCCTTTTTGGCAATTTTCCAAATTTTCAACTCGTATAGGACTGTAGGGGAATAGAAACCGAGACGTCCAAAGCTGGAAATTCTAGTGACAGAAAAAGACAAAAATCCGGAGAGACAAAGGGCTTGTATACGTTTCCCCAATCTTCTTCCTGGAAAGCACCCTAGAAGTAGGCTTGCCGTCCTGGAAGATTCCTAAATTTTACCGGTAACGGAACATTTCTTTTCCTGGATCTAAAAATGATAATTTGTAACGCTGACATGAGCTCCAGTGCAGGGGCGTAACTAGAAATCACAGGGCCCCATAGCAAAATTTTGTATGGGGCCCTGTGATTTCTACTTACACACCTTGAAGAGCCCACATAGCTCACCTGAGAGCGACCCCCGCAGGGCCGGTCACACTCCTTACCTGTCCGCCTCGTCCTCCGTCGCCCCTCCTCCTCCCCGCCACGTCCAGCCTCCTCCACCGCCGCTGCTGACTCTCATTGACTCAGCAGCGGCTATGGAGAAGAACGCAGCGCTGCACAGATCACGGTGATCTGAACAGTGGTGCGTTCTAACCCATAGCGACCCAGGCGGCCTGCACGGCATCAGGGGGGTGTCCTGGCCGGGCCCCCCTGTGCCCGGGTCCCATAGCGGTCGACTGGGTCGCTATGGCTATTACGCCACTGCTCCAGTGACTTGTCGGAAATGTTTATGATGTTTTTCAGTCCTCTTTATAAAAATAAAATGTTTCATGGGTAGTGTATTTGGGAAGTGTGTGGTGTTGGGAGGGGCCTGTAGCTTGTAGTGTATTTGGGAAGTGTGTGGTGTTGGGGGGGCCTGTAGCTTGTAGTGTATTTGGGAAGTGTGTGGTGTTGGGGGGGGCCCTGTAGCTCGTTGTGTTTTTGGGAAGTGTGTGGTGTGGGGGGGGGGCTT